GAGCTAAGATGGTCTGGTCCTTGATGCTGTTGAACAATTAGACCAGGAGCAGCAGCAGGATGACAGTTGTATATTAGCTATATCACAGATCTGATTCAGTAGAGAATTTGGAAATATGCTGAGCCTAATTCAAGGCTCAGAAGAGGATCAGCACCAAGAGAATGGCCACCTACATAGATGATATGGAAAGGCATACCTGCTGTGGCCTCTGCAGATCAGGAGGATATCCTCGTCAATACATTTACTGAGGGACTACCTAATTGGATTATGCAATAATACTTGGGCATGAGGTACATCCTGACACTCATGAAAGCAGTGCCCATTGTGACATAGCTTAAAATGGTCTAATTGAACTAACTATTAGAGAGAAAGAAGCCTATAGCAGTAGCTATAGCAGAACTTCTACCAATGGATTGCCTAGATCCAACTACAGAGCAGGGCTAAGAACCAATCACCCACAAATTCCAGCAACACATTAATCTCAAAGTGAGTGACAGAGATATTCAGGTCCACCCACTGGGCACCTGCCACTAAAAGGACCATTCATGGGAAACATGCTAGAGCTAAGTCTGATGCCTCTGCCTGGACATCATCCAGAACTGGAAGAGTGTAGCTTTGGCTTTGCTTGTGGATTAGTGTGGCAATGAGAAAGGAATTGCTTATAGTTTGCAGAACAGCAAAGACAACAGAATTTTCATTTTCAGCTGATGTCTCAGCAGGTGCCAGGCAACCTACAATATCAGCATCTTGATGAACAGCAAAGAAGGCAAGGTTATTGGTACTGACCATTGAATCAGCAGGTCTAGGATGACCAGCATCAAGTTTTAGATGTTGTGGTAAATGCTCTGGTAAACTGACAGAGCTCAACTTGGGCTTGGCTACTGACTTGTGAGAGCACAGTGGAGTGCTTGAACCAGAATTATCAGTGGCCAGCTCAGGTCAGTGAGTGCTGGGTGGAGCCAATAATGACCGAACTTTTGCCTGTATTCTAATGCATACAAACTATAGGATGGATTAAAATCAAAACCTACTGCAAAGATCTGTGACATTTGTCAGCCTGCAACCACAAACTCAGGATGATGTGCTTATGTCTGTAACATCAAGAACACTGGAGCAAACCTTATCCCTGGAAACTACATGGAGAGGTTTGTACAGAACTTCTAGAAGTGTAGACCAATGGACTGAGGATCAACAGGCTCTTCACCAGACTTATTCACATTAGAACATGTTTCTCGGTTACAGTTTATGGAAAGATGAAATCTCAATAGACCTGACTAAGAGAGTTGCAGTGAGACATTGACCTCAACACATTACAAAGCAAGAAGTTTGCAGTTTCCTTTGTTTTACGTCATGCTACCGACAATTTTAAGTAGAACTTCTTGAAAGATAGCTGCTTAATTGTCTGCTCTCACAAAAATGGAAGCAAAGTTTGTATGCACTTAAGAAGATGATTAAGCATTCTGATCCTTAAAGCTTGCTTTGGTAAATGCTCCAGTGCTGGCCTATCTACACCAAAACTAAGTTTCTATTGGACACTGATGCCAGTGACAACAGAGTTGGAGCAGTGCTGTTAAAGCTGCAGGATGAAGTAGAAAATGTAATCACATTCACTATCCATACACTTATGGCTCCCAACACAAACTGTATGACAAAGAAAGAACTATTTGCAGTGGTTAACTTATTGAAACACTATTGCTACTACATGTACAGTAGGAAGTTCGCCATTTGGGTGGACCATGCATTTTTGAAGTGATTTATAGTTTTCAAAAATCTGGAAGTGAAAACAGCATGTTGGATAATGATGTTGCAAGAATATGATTGTATCATAGTTCATCACCCAATTTCACAGTATGAAAACATGTACAGAATATCTCACCAACGTGAGACTGTGTCCACTCATGAAATGTTCCGATTCTGGAATCCACAACTGTTGTAACTAGTGAGACCATGTCTGTTCATGGAATGTTCTGATCCTGGAAATCTGCGATAGTTTCAAATATGGATGTTCCAACAATATTGAATACTAGCCATGAAATAAGAGACTCCAGTGGTGGATGGATGCTAAAGTTAATGGTACAGAAAATCCAAGACATGCATCTGAAGGGCACTGACCTAGTATGAGCACTCCTTGCTATCTAGCAAGGTCAGACCCATCTTGAACTAGTAGTGGAACAGCACAGATGCACATAACCTGTGGCATCTTTTTGCAAGAAGATGTTATGTATCATTGCTATCAAGCAACAAGACAGGTGCTCCGACAGTGCTGCAACTAGTGGTACTCAGATCTTTACTGCAATAAATAATCCAAACTTTGCATAACACAATAACTGGAGGGCACCAAGCTGTAACTCTCATTTATGCTAATATTTGATGGTGTGTCTTCTGGTTGCAAGTGAGTTGAGATGTTCAGTGCTGGTGTGAATACTGATTTGTGTGTGCTGTCCAGAGGAAAACTGGTTGAGACAGGGCAAACTCCAACAAAGAACTGCCGAGTTTCCTCTGCAGAGAACAGTTCTGGATATCACTGATCCACTCCCAGAAACTGCAAGAGGTCACTGATGCATACTCATTGCCATTGGCTATTTTACGAAGTAGACCAAAGCTTATCCACTGGTCAATATGCTAACACAGACAATTTTGGATGTGTTAGCTGGAAAGTGGATAGCCCAGTTTAGATCTATGGAAAAAATCCACACAGGGAGCTAACTTCAAAAGCAGTTTCCTTAGTTGTATAACAAGTTAAGAGGTGTTGCAAAATAAATCACACTTTTTAATAAAATGAAGATCAACAGGCTGTTCACCCAGCTTCTTCGTATTTGGATGGAAAGGTTAGTCCCTATGAACATTATGTATGGTCCTCAAACACAAAAAGTCCTCCTATAACCTAAGTGGATGTGGAGCTTTTATATATTAACTGCATCAGGAATCTGGAGAGGAACCAAGGAGTCAGAAGAGAAAAAGGACACTGTTTTGAGTCATTCTGACAAGACTGATGAGGGAGAAAAGGTTGCAGTGACTGGAAAACAAGACACCAACTTTGGCCTCTCAATCAATATGTATGAGACTGAATATTGACAGCTAGGATGATCATTGGATCAAGCACCTAGTGATTGAAAAAGTGTCATTCCTTTCTTTGTAAATTACTGAGTGGTACTGAGATGCAATATATTTACTACAAGGCCATTGGGAACAAAGTGATGCGACTTACGTCAGTAATTTAGAAGGTGTCTCAATTCCTTGCTTTCTGAGCCACTGAGTGAATTTTGTGGTACAAAGTGCCATCAGATGTTTCAAGCATATCACTCACACAATCTGTCCGAGTGGTAAGAGATCTGAAAAGTGTATCAGCTAGTATTTACTAGATTTTTCATTGATTTTCTTGGGAAATAAGTCTGATCTATAATCAAAGAAAGAGTTCTGTTTTCTCCAAGTGTGTATATTGGAGTAGAGTAGCAATTGTACAAATGTTAATCCTGGTACATAGATCTTTAACTAAAAGGTCTTAATCTGTCCAAATTTTGCCAGTGATTATTTGTTTCATGAAGTCTGAAAAATAAATGAGTTGAGTTTGATCACTCTTAGATGCTACTACAGTCAATAACAAGCGCAGCTTTGGCAGCTAACTTAAACATTACCGTGTTTCATGCAAAAGCTGTAGGTCAGCTGTATAAATCACTAGAGTAGTTGGAAAAGTATAATGGCAGCATGTGTATATAACAATATACCTTTGTAAATAAATAAATAAATAATGGTTCTATGCATATTTTAAAACATTATACAAGAGTCCTTCAAGTGTTGAAACAAATTAAGATAAATGAGTCAATCACACAAAATTGCAATAATAAACAAGAAGACAACAAGGGCACAGAGACAAAGGATCTTATCTCAATGTTAAGAATTGATGGATACAAAGAAAACTGTTATAAATGACCTGGAAAGTATAACTGGAAATTGTAGTATACTTGTATTTTGTAGCAACTGAATCCAGAGTGTAAAACTTTTAAAAATATTAATTTTTCATCTTTTAGTTTCATGCTGGTCAGATTTTCAAATGAAAGTTATTTAAGCCTTTTATTTCTTTATCATTATTTCCAAGTCAGACTTATTCAATGTTTTCTTGACACATTATTATACCAAGATAAGTCCCCCTGTTGTTAATGTTACACTTTCTTTTTACCTGATATTGGCACTAAACACCAGGATAAAATTGGGCAAATACATGGTTCCAAAGGGATTGACAAAAAAATTTGATTGAGAATTGCATTAAAATGTTTACACTTTTTGATTGTTGTAATTAACTTGTTTATTAGTGTGTATTTACTTCTTTTTAATACCACATCTTTGATTGAAAACTTGCACATTTTTATAATGTGCCTAAACAAGTTAAAGCTACATACTGCAAATCAAACCAAAATAAAGTACTAGAAACGATACAAATAAACAAGTACCAAACTAAAAACTTATATTTTATTTGTTGTTGATTTAATATACGAATTTTTATCTTATTTTTGGATCCTCATCTGGCTTCTTACTGGATCAGTGGTGGTTTTGCCTAGAATACCATATCGATACTGGTAATGGAAATTTGCATCTTATTTAATACATAATTTTTTGTTTAAAAGTCACTTTATTTCATGGCTATTATACCAGATATTACAATGAAAGTTTTACAGAAAGCTGCTGTAATCCAAAAATATCAAAATAAGGCCACTACTTCCTGAAAAACAACTTTAATGTTGCAAAAGTGCTACCTATTAAAAAAAATCTAATCTTGACCTTGAGCGTTTTTTTTTGTATAAATAATGCAGTAATAAAATTGTTTTAACTTTCCAGAAGTTGGAAAGTTAAAATACCATATGGTATAGAATTTAAAATAAAAAACACATTTTACACTATTTCAGTTATTTATTGTAGTCATTCTACCATAGAATCTTTGTTTCAGCCAATCTGTTTTAAGAATCATATTAAGATAAAAAGCTATGAATAATAAAGAGAGTTACCTGCTCTATACCATCCAAAACTCATCCTCTTTGTAGCTGGTCTGGAAGCTAGCCACAAAGCCAACAAGCTTATCATGAAACCAGCAAAGTCTGTCAGTAGGTGGGCAGCATCTGTTGCAATAGCTAGACTATTTGCCAAAAAACCTCCTAAAAAATGAGCATTTGATAACAGTTAAATTTCACTTGTTTTATATAATAAGTGAATTAGTATAAGTGTAATATATGAATAATATCAAGTGGCTATTAGTCCAAAACTGAGATAAATGATATGAATAAAACATTTTTCAATATCAATAAAGTATCAATTATCAAAATGGTAATACAAGATTGAAACAATGATATCATCAACATACAGAACATGGATCAATTTGTGGTGCCAGAACCATCCATAAAAAGCCACTATTCTAGCCAGTATATACAGACTTTGTTCTGGCTAACAATGACATGATTTATGTAACTCAAGAAGTAGTTAGTCCTCTAACGTCAAAAGTAGTTGTCTCTAATCTTTGTTCATGCATTGGTATTTTATGGATATACCAATTACAGAAGTTGTTCGCTGGTTTCATTTATGCAATAGGTGAAATGCAGCTCTTGAAAACAAACTATTCACTGCTAACCAGATTTGGCTCAAACACAGTGGACTAAGGGAATGCTTGTTAAAGAGAAAGTTGCATTATCTCTCACTTTATTCATCTGATGCACAGTTGTTGTCTTCTGCAGCAACAAAACTAATGCAGGAAATAAATTCTTCTCCAGAAAGCAGGCTGCACTTGCTTGAATGTTTATCTGTGCTGTAACAAATTTGTTGTCATGTATTTATTTTTAATATGAACGTTGTTTAGATTAATTTTGTATTTAGAAGTATGCGTAGTGTTGGATATGTATTGTGTGTAACGAATTTCTTATACATTTATTTTAAGGCCAACATTTGTTGGATTGAATTTGTATTTAAAAACATACCTAGCGTACAGTGTTATAGTTACGTATGGCAAAACTCCTGCCAATTCTCCAAGATTGTAGAATATTTGTGAATGCAAGAATCGACAATATATCCACTTCCATAACTGGTTAAATATAGTTCAGTACTGTTTTCGCACCTATAAAACAGGCAAAGCGACATGCCAAAAAGAGAGAGCTTATAGGTCTGCTAGGAACCTGTTATAACCGTGTACGCTATAAATCATGATTTTGCTAACCCTTATCAACCGGAAAATATACTACATTTGACTAGGAACAGTTATAAATTTAGAACGTCAGTGGATTCTCATCGGATGTTAGTATCTTTCAGAAAGTATTACTGAATTCTCATCGGACATAGTGGTCTTATGGAAATATTATCTCACTTCAACGGTCCAACAATTCAGTGTCTGACAAAGCTAGCTAGCTTCTCGGCAATTATACATACATCGTACATCGACTTCAAGTTAACTCGCTGGATATCAAGGAGACTGAACTAGAAAGAAGATTCTATGTTGTTTGTAAGTTAGTGAAATTGTTGTTTATAAAACTTTGTTTGTGGTAATTAGTCGTAATAATTGTTGTTGTAAATTGTACTGTTGTATATATATTAAAACGTAGTTGTGTGAAAAACGAAAACAGTGTGTGTCAATCTTGTTGGCAAATAGCATAAATTAACTAAAATATTGGCTTCGGACTATTTCAAATTCTCAATATGTAACAACCCACAGTGGTGGCAGTACTAATGCTGATCTGAAATTACACAATTTAACTAGTCAACTTCCTTCTTTTATGTTAATTGAAATAGTGACTGATATAGAAGTTGATCAAACTAGTCAAATAGCTGGTGTTGCTCTGGATCTGGCTTCAGGTTACTGCCATGAAAGGCTAGACAATCTAAGCAAACCTAAGACTGCTTTTAGCACCAAAGAGAGTTCGTGTTTTTGTAATAACCTTTCAGGTTTCAATGGCTGATGAAACTTGTACTGAGAAGGCTGCAATAGGAGAGATGCATTATTTTTATGGACATAAGTGAAATTTCTTGGTTACATTTTGGGGACAGCATGCCAACCAACCCTGTAAAGATTGCTATGGTAAGAGATTGGCATCAAAATCTGTGTATTAATTTGTATCAATGACATTTTCAAACCAATTTCTCCAAGATAGGTGTAATACTGTCTGCACTGACTAAACTTGAAGTACATTTTAGGCAGATAAAGGCTGTGATCAAGCAATTTCTGTCAGGTGGCTTTAATCAAGGCTTCAGTATTATCACATTAAGATCAGATAGTCGTTTTTTCCTGGATCTTGATGCAAGAAATGGAAGGGTGTTGTTGCCATTGCAGGATGGGGTAGAATATGTAATTGCATATGCTAACCTTGCAGTTAAATTAGACAAATCCGATCCCTGTAGCAAGCTGGGATCAAGGGTGTCTCAATTAACAAATTTGATAAATAATATTTTGTTACGACAGTGGGGGGGTCACGTGACGAATATGCTAGAAGATTCGCTAGTGTGTTGCGACAGCGTTGCGTCAATTGACGCTGATAGCATGTGCTGAGAGTCTTAGAAGTTTCTAGAACAGGCAGTATTATCGTATATAAGTGCGCTAGACAGTGAGAGAGACAGACGGAGTCAAAGCAGTAGACGAGGCAGAGACAAGACGGGTCGAAGCAATAGTGGAGACAAAGACAGA